TGAGCTCTGTTCTGTTCCCTGTATAAGCCCCAATTTGATCATGATACGTAATTGGTTTTGTTTGGTGTTTGGGTTTTTTTGGTTGATTTTTTGTTTGTTTACTTGTTTTTTTGGTGAGGAAGGGAACGGACTTGAATTTACTGATGTCAAAATATGTGATAGTCCTCATCCCTGACAATAGGTTTGACAGACTAATAGTTAAAAGGGGTTTAAGGGTATTTCAGAGAATGATAGCTCCATCAGGGTAGGGACCAAAGGACAGTACTGGTGACCGTTATGAGACACTCAAGCCTCAGCCAAAGGCCAAGGCACAGTGCCCAGCCCTTGTCGGTGCTGGATGTTTCTGGGGCACAGCCCATGTGGGCAGTATCCAAGGAGGCTTGTGAAAGAGAACCCAGCTGCCTGGGAAAGGGGCCACTACAGAGGTGAGTGAACAATAGATCTTGGCAATCGATCAACAATCATTCATTAAGCACAGAGCAAGATTCCAATACACAGTTTTCCAATCCCAATGAACTCTAATTTTGTAAAGAAGGAAGGGGAAGACAAGGAACCATGATCAGTTCTCACATGTCTGCTACCGCTTTGTTGTTTTTAACTGATTTGTCACTTTCCCTTCTGAATGCAAGAGGATAACTAATACCCAAAAGAGAACATCAGGTCACATGTTCTCAAAGGGCCATCAGAGAGAAAAAGCCTCTAGTCACAGCAAGTGGATAGGAGGGACCCTGGCTTCATCAGTGCTTTTGATTCTTCGTTCATAAGAGCCAATCAAAGCGACACAGACCACTTCAAGGCTGCCTTCCTGGAAGACAGACACACAGGCACCCCAGAGAGACTGGGGCTCATTTCCCAGGCAAGGTAACCAACAACATCCAGCTTCTCCAAGCCGACTGGGATGGCAACCCTGGTCCTACACAAATACCCTGTCTGACAGTAGGGGACAAAAATAATCTCAGTAATGAAAAGCACCAACATTTTGGCTCAGTTCAGTCTCTGATTAAGTAATTCTTTTTACTTCCAAAAGAAGTTAGTATATGCCATTTCACACATTCCCTGCTACAGTCAAAATTCCACAAACTAGCAGTTTTCCACAGCCTTCCTCCTGAAACTAATGCCAAAAGGAGTTCTTGCTTTTAAATTAAAATTCTAAAGGGCATACAAAGTTGGATTTCCAAAGTAAATTATTATTCATTCCCCTTAGGGAATGTTTTCTGAATTCAGCCAATCAGGACGTGCGTGTGTGTGTGTGTGTGTGTGTGTGTGTGTGTGTGTGTGTGTGTGTGTGTGTAAAATCTGATTGGTTAACATCAATAAAGCCAATACACAGAAAGCTAGACAGCTTCTAGGAACGTGCCATAATAATACATAGGCTATGTTTATGAAATCGCCTTCTGACAATGAAGAGATAAGGCACATAAGCTAATATCCATCTATAGCTTTTTTTCCCCCTTTTTCATGATAACTGAATTTTCCTATTGAAATTAACTTCAAACTCCTAAAGGAAAATAATTTTTTTTTTCTTTCTTTCTTTTTTTTTTTGGCTAGGCAATAGGGTTAAGTGACTTGCCTAGGGTTGGGTCCTCCTGAATTCAGAGCTGGTGCTCTATCCACTTTACCACTTAGCTGCCCCTGGAAAATAATTCTTGTTGAAGTTATATTGGGCCCAATAATCAGCTGAATGGTAAGTTGGAGGAGATAGGGGAGGCCAGAATCATCATCCCAGGCTTTGAAATTAAGTCATATTGTAAGGAGGGGCATAACCTTAAATCTTTTTCTTTATCAATTATTTGGTCTGGAAAAAATATGGCTACCTCCAATCTCCTAAACATTCTGTGGTCCCAGTTTCCTGAAAGACAGGAAAGGGAGCCTGGAACCCTCTGCAATGTCAAGCCACTCAGACTCAACAGCCCATCAGCATTTCCCAATGCAGTTTGTACCAGGGCTTCTTGCATTTATGGGTATTTTGCACTGTAACTGTTATCATTTTCTTTTCTGTGTGTATGTTTCATATTCCCAAGAGACTGTAAAGTCCTCTAGGCAGAATGGTACAATGGATATTTCCCTGTGTTCAAATTCTACCTCCAACACTGGTTATCAGTATGACCTTGGGCAAGGTCACTCACCCTCTCATCTGTAGGTGAGGGGGTGGGGCTTGACGACCTCTGAGGTCTCTTCTAGTTCTACATCTCTGACCCTATGACCTTTGGGGGCAGGGTCCATGTCCCAGCACAGGATTCTGCACTTCCCAACCAATACACAGTCATGGGATGGATGACATGTGCTTTAAGGCTCACTCTACCTTTATGTGTGAAAGGGAATAAGAATAAGACCGACAACAAGGCCCCTTTGCCCTTGGTTAGTGCCTGATGGTTTTCAAAGTGGTTATATATGCATTATTTCGTTTGATTTTCATATATGGTTCGCAGGACAAGACACGAAAGCTCAGAGAGCCCTAGACAAGGCAGCCCAGTGGGTGTGGCCAAGTCCTGCTTCCTTCCTGACACTTTGTTCTAGAAGCCAGACCTTACAGTAGCTTGACAAGCATCAGGCAGAAAACTGTATTTTCTGGCCATGAATAAGTCTGCCATTTTGATCAAGACTAAACACAGTTTTCTTCATCAATAATAGAAAATAATAATAATTACAAGATAACTAGCATTTATGTAGTGCTTTAAGGTTTGCAAAGCACTTTACATATGTTATCTCATTTGGTACTCACAACTACCCCATTTTACAGCTGAGGAAACTGAGGCCACAAGGGTTAAATGACTTGTCCAGGGTTACACAGCTAGTAAGCATCTGATGCAGAATTTAAACTCAGGTCTTCCTGACTTCAAATCCAGTGCTCTACTGTACCACCTAGTTTGCCGGATAGGAAATTATAATCAAATAATGTATATGAAATTATTAACTAGTAAGCACTTAAGAATCTCTTCTCTCTTTGCTTTCCTTGATCTGAAAGGTGCTGGATCAAGGCTGGAGCACAGAGTGTCTCTTTCCAATGAAAAAGAGTATCTCTGTCTCTGCAGCATTAGCCAGGCTGGTCCCCTCCACCACAAATACATGTCTGAGAACAAATGCTCTCTCTTCCAACCATCCGGTTGCTCTAGAGAGATAACAGCCATTCGGGGGTTAAAAAGAGGCAGTGAACCCCCAGTTAATGAGTAAGAATTCAGCAGGCAGCGTAAGATAAATGGAGCCCTCTCTGCTTCTGCTGGAGTCAGCATGAACTGCGGCCCTGCGGCTTGTTTGTGGCAAATGGAGTGCGCGAAATATCAAAGGGCAGTGATCCAGAAGAAGACCGACTCTGACAAATTTTAAATTGGCCAGAAAGAAAACCAGCAAAAAAAAAATACAAAAAAATTATGCAATTCACTGTGTCCTGCAATCTTGTTGCTGCCTTTGTACAGAATTAGTGGCAAAACAACAGCGATGATCGCCCAGTGCTGGAAGCTATTATGAGCCATCTAAGAGAGATGCTTATCGGCTCTGAAGCTTTCAGAGCTCTCTCTACATGCTGTTGTAAGGGACCTGCTCTTGCGCTGCAGCCCCTTTAATTAAAGTGTAGAGAGTTGTTCAGGAGTAATTATCCTGTTTGGAAAAGAAAGCAAGAAGGGAAAAAACCCAACAACCCTGGGTGGCAGCAGATTTTTGAGAGATGACTGTGTGTGTGTGTGTGTGTGTGTGTGTGTGTGTGTGTGTGTGTGTGTGTGTGTGTGTGCATGTGTGTGTGTGTGAGAGAGAGTGAGAGTGAGTGAGAGTGAGTTTGTGTCTGTGTCTCTGTGTGTCAATTAAAGGTATCAGGCTGGCTGTGATGGCCAGAGATGTCTCAGGTTCTTATGTCCTACAGGCAAGCAGTGGGGCAGAAGAGACTAACAAAGTCCGTAACATGGGGCCGGGTGCAAAGGACAGTCATCAAGAATGACAACCCTTGTCACTGGCTCTGGCAGTGTCTTAGGGCACTGGCTATGCAGCTGACTGGAATAGGCTCCATCCAATCATTCAACAAGACTGGATTATGTGACTACTAAGTGCACAGCTCTGGCAGTTGCAAAGACAAATGACATGGTTCCTGTTCTCAAGAAGCTTGTTGCATCAGAGTGTAGTGAAGACACTGCTCTTTGAATGACTTTTAGAATGGGCACCAGATGAACAGGACAAAGATACTGCCACATTACCTCCTACTCCTTTCACCCAGCATGCTTCCTTATTTATAAAAGAAAATCTCCCTCTCCCCTAAACCTTCTCACATATCCCAGCAATCCCAACAAAAGATTTTATGAAACCACCTTTATACCAAGGGATCCAGTGGGCAGGCTGGGTAGAAAAGTGATCTTTTAAAGAACAGGCTGAAATTCACTTGGCCTGGGAGCTCAGTACATGACTCCCATGGTTAGTTATTGGTGTTCAAATTACAAGCATCCTGGGCAAAGAAGCCTAAGTGCAATGCTAGGCATCCTAGGAGCAAATCCCCCTACAGCTCCTGCTTCTGGGGCCAGCCTCCTCCTCTAGCACAGAGAAGGCCTTCCTCACTTCAAAGCTCCTTGGCAGAATCCTTACCCTAGAGCTTCCATTTCTTAGAGCAGGATGAAGCCAGGAAGCTACATAGGCCAGGTCTGAGATGATTTAACAAATAGAAGCTGATGTACCTTCTATTCAATTTACTCTCCTATTCAACAGTAACTCAAGGTCAGACATGGCAAGATTCTATTTTGACATCCACAAGCCTAGAGAGTTGGGATGGTTGAGAACATTTAAAGTATGTTCGTTTTTCCACCTGCTGTACGTACACACCCACACACCCACACCCACACCCCCACACCCCCTAGACAGAGCATTTCTTTCTAGCAGGTTTCTTACCATATGGAGGACAGTAAATAAAGATGATCATGAATGTGATCAAATGCTCCAATGCTTCTTCCCCTGGCCTATGAATGCCCTCATTACAAATCAGCTGAATGGCTCATTGAGCTGCCAGGAAGGCAAGCCAGACATACCCAATCGCTCGGCCAGGCGGATGTACACTGGGTCCACCCGACGCATAGTTTTCACCAAATCCTTTCTGCGGAATTTGATTTCTACTGTCCCCTCTGGCTCCAGAATAGATCCTCTGATCAACACAACAAAACAAAACAAACACAAAAACAAAAGCTAAGAGTGAAATTTTAAGGAGGAGACAACAGACTTGCTGGTCACAACGTGTGGATCAGGAAATGAAATTCATTATGGTTCTACCCACCCAGACAGGCACAAGAGAAATGTGTCTGTGCAAAGTATGAAAAAGGGCTGGCAAAAAGCAATTAAATAATTCTCATTACTGGGCCAGCTTAACTCCCATCTCAAAGGAAGAAAAACGCATACCCCACCACCTACCGCTGACAAGGGCAACAAGAATAACGTTAATTTCCTGAGCCAAAAATGAAACCAAGTATGTATTTGTACATGTGTATGTATGTGTATGTGTAGACACACAAGCACACAGAAGCACTGTGACAAGGGGCTAAGATGCATTTAAACTATATAAGAAGGCTTCAGTGATAATCAGTTTGCACACAGAAAGAAGGGAAAGGAAACCCTAACAGCTCTCCTATCCAGAGGCTGCCAGGAACTGATCAGACAGATCGAAGGCCAGCAGCTGGTAAAGCCATGGAGTGGCTGCTACGACAATGTGCCACAGGGAACATGCTGTGCTTTAGGTGAGCACTAGCTTAAACAGCACGGTTAGGATTAGGCTACCTATTACAAAACTCAATAGACTGAGATCTAAATATTCCAGGCAACCTGTCTAAGGTTCAACATGAAACTGGGGTCAAAATCAGGATTTTAAGTATAGACACTTCTCACTTTATGGAAGTGGGCCATTCAGCAGACCTCTAGGTAAAGTGATTTCTACATAATGTGAATTTGCCTGTAGATGTGGGGAAGGGAAGGAGGCAGGAAGGGGGCCTGCACCTGTGAAGGGAGGGGGCTGGCACACAGTTCTAGGACACGTGAGGGCTGAGAAAGAGAGGCAAGAGCAAGAGGAGGAACACGGAGGGGCTGAGGAGAGACATTCAGTACCCAAGCACGGACGACAGAAGACAGGAGCTGGACAGTGGGCAGAGTAGGCAAAGGCCTTTTGATGCGCCAGAGGTCTCAAGCCAAGTGCCTGATCCTGCCTTGCATTCATTCCTCTGCTTTTACTTGGAGAGGTTTTGTTTCAAGGGTGTTTTTGTTTGTTTATTTTTGGTGGCAGGGTAGGAGGCCTCAGAACACCAAGCAGAATGGCAGAAACAGAGAGAAAGTACTATACAGTAGAGTTAACATGGGCATTTTTTGGAATGCACATTTTTCTTCTAAAACTCTTTATGTAAAGTTGAATTTGTGTAATGTGAATTTAAGTAAAGGAAAAACTATCTATAAATCCTGAAATGGGGAATCTTGACATTCGAGTGCTCTGATGCTTTATAAGTTAAGGCTACACTTATAAAGTTCTCAAGGAAGAGCTTTAACATAAGGAAATTGAGGTTTGGGGCCTTTTCTGCAGTGTGTATGTGGGGGGGAGGGGAAATGGAGAAAAGTCAATGCTCCTATGTTTAACAAATTTTCAGGACAGGAGAGAACTAGAGGAAGCATGGATTTATTGAAGAGTCTGGATATCAGGTCAGAATACGTAGACTGAAATCCTAATTTTGCCACTGACCAGCTGAGTGATCCTGGCCTTGCTATTTAACCCCACCCCCAGCTTCAGCTTCCTAATCTGTAAAATGAAGATATTTTGCTAGATGATATTTAAAGTTTCTTGCAACTCCCAAAATCCCATGAAATTTAATTTTCCAAAAGGATCAGGATGCTTTCTCCTATTTATCCAGCTGTTAAAAACGCAATCTTTAAGGGAGCTTGGAAGTCCCAATCAGAGTTCACTAGCTTTCAGCAAGGGGATATAGGGAACAAGAAGCTCTGAGCAGCCAGAAGGAAGGGGAAGAGAAATCTTCAGAGCTCAGCCAAGGCCTTAGAATGAGAAAAAACCACACTAAGAATCAACATCTAGAAGTTCCGTTTATATCTAAGTGTTCTTTAGGAAGAGGGGGTCTATAGAACATAGCCAAGGAGAAATGGGGAAGAGGTACCTGCTTTCCCGGTCAGCATACATTTCCATGTGCCGGGGGTTAATGGTGGGATCAATAACAACCCAGGATCCTCCCCGGAGCTCAGCTTGGGGAGGGATGTAAACCATCACCGGTTGACAGCATTCACGTAAACCATCCACGATGTAAGCTCCAAACTTCAAGACCTGGTCATACATGTCTGTGGAAGATAAAATATAGTTAGAAACCAAACAGTTTACCCTCAAAGCATCATTATGTCAAATGACTACATTTCCTACTACATTTAAACACATACAGGGGTAGAATAAGGAAAACCCAAACTTAAATCTTGCCTCTGACACTTAATAGATGTGTGACCATGGGCAAATCATTTAATTGTCTTTACAATGACTGAGGACTCTCTTTAAGACTATATAAGGTAGAGATGAGTTTTTCATCTGCATTTGTGGAAGATGCTCCCATGCTGGGAGTCTTCCACACTGATGAAATCAAAGGCATGGTCCCCAAAAAAGGGTATGCAAAGAGAAATGATTCTCATACAGAATGTTCAAAGTCCACTTCCTATAAGAAGTCTTCCTGACTGCTTGTTTACTGTGTATCCTCTCTAGACTTCTATGATATGCAAAACACAGCTTGTACAGTCTTAACATATTTTTTAACATGTTGCTTTGTAAGTCGTTTTTAGTTTTCATGCACATGTGCTATTTTATCTTTTCCAGCATAACATAAGCTTTCTGAACACAGGGAATTAATTTTCTGTCCTGTATTCACAAGCTCATAGATTTAGAACTGGAAGGACCTCAGAGGTCATGGAGCCCAACACCATCATTTCACAGGTAAGAAAACCAAAGCTCTGACAAGTTAAATGATTTGCCCAAGGTCACACAGGTACTAAGTGGCAAAGCCAAGATTCAAATCCTGACTCCAGAGCTAAGTTTCCGATGTATTGATGCCTGATGTGTTAGTAAAACACTTTTGACAGCCTACTATCCTACTTATCAATGTGCACTTTAGAACATCAACTCCCAAAATATGACTAACACTACAGTATTTATATTTGTATTTTTTCCTTGAGGATATGAACATTTAACCTTTGAAAAATGCTTCCTGGAAAAGTTACACAGTCTTAAGGGGACAGTCAGACTGGATGTCCTCTTGCTCACTTAGTAAAGGAGAAAACAGTATGACCTGCCCAAGGCCAGAGGCTTAAATCAGAAGCAGCCCTGGGGCAAAAGGGACTCCCAGCAGAACAAAATATGACCTTGGAAATGAAGATCAGTCTTTTGTAGTTGAATATTTTATGGACTTTTCTTCATTTCCCAGTTCACTGAAGTCTAAACGCCACTTAAGTTTCAGTTTTATGATTCCAGATGTTGGGCTGTATATGTCAGAGGTAACATTTTAAAAGGAAAACACCAGATCTTTTCAGATTACCAAGTAACAGAAACAATGGAATTCTTTACAGAAACAAAAGTCTAGGTTTGGCATGAACAAGAACTGCTGAAATTCCATTACAAAGGGATATTCTGAGCAACCAAAACATTGCTCATTATGATTAATGGCAACTTAAGGTATGGTCCTCAGCAAATCAAAACCTATGAACACATACTCTCAGCCACTCACTGCAAAGCACTGCCCTTCTTTTCTTTTCATCAGGCAGGTTTTTGAAGATTCAGGGAAATTCACATCCTCCCTGCCATTCTAAGCAGTCCTACTGAAAGACTATTCCCTGTGTGGAACCTAGATATGTATACATGGTCAGAGAGAAGACAATTGTTTTCAGAAGGAAGAAAAGATCCAAAAAATTTATTGCTAATTATACAACTGCTGTATTATGAAGAGCTACAAATAAAGTGCTTTAAGTACTTTACACTAATTCTGTGGTTATGAAAATAATTGCTTGATTCAAATTATTTTAAGTAAATTAATTCTTTAGTAGATATTTCTACTAGTGCTACATCATAAAATAATTGTGTAATTAGCATTACATTTGTCAGTGCTGCCAAGAGTATATCCCTAGAACAACAACAGAAAAGAGTGGTCCTTAATGGTATCAGTGGAGAGGAAAGAGAAGGCAGGGCCTCAAGGAAGAGAAGAAGGAAAGAAAAACAGTGGGACAGAATATGTGTCTGTATGGTTGGGGAGGGGTACACACATATGTGTACACACATGCATACGTGTTTGCACAGAGGGCCTTATTGTTAGGCAACGCAAGAAATTGGAGTTATCTGTTGTCTTACACTGGATACAATGATTAAAAAAAAAATGAAAAAAATCAACCCAGGAAAGCAGCCCTGTAGAATCAGAAATGTTACTGACAACCACGCTCCCTATGCCAAGGACTCAGTGGCAATTCTTTACCCAACGCCACATGAGTTTTTCCAAGGCCCAGAATTGCTAAGTTGCTGTAAGAAAAATAGAAACTGAAGCCCTCAGGAGTCTACCAAAGCTGGAGACCTTGCACCTGATGCCTGTGTTATGTGTTTGACAGAGAGCTGCAACTGTTATGCAATCTGACACTCACAAGGTCTGAAAAGGCATAGGGACTATTCAAGAGAAACCACTGCTGCAGCCTGGGAGAGATTTGGCATTGTTCAAGCAATGCCACCACTTCCAAAACCATAGATTTTTAAACACAGGTCAAGAAGCAGTTAACAAATAGTCTGATAGAGCCTTGGAGTCAGGAGGACCCGAGTTCAAAGCCAGACTCAGACACCTGACACCTGGAAGCTGTGTGACCTTGGGCAAGTCACTTAACCCCGACTGCCTCGCCAAAAAAACAAAAACAAACCCAAATAATCTGATATATACTGTCATGCCTAAAATCCCTCCATGTTAGAGTGCATAGTTAAGAGTTGGAGCAAAGGCACAGCAAAGAGGGATCCCCAAGAATCTAGGCTGGCAATTCCATCTGCCAAATTTTTAAAGCTACATTCAAGATGACTATTAAAGTCTCATGCCCTGAGGAAAAAAAGCTGATGGAAAAGACTGATAGATCTTCCCCCAGAGACACAGGAGTTTCGTAAGCCCTGGCACACTGCACAGAGAACGGTCACATTCCCCACTGGCAGGGATAACCCTCACCTTCAGGCTTTTTAGTGTCAAGGTACAGACTTGCCTAAGGTCTTCGCCATTACACGATATGCATGAACAGTGATACCACATGCATTAAGCAAAGGAAAGAGGTGGCCAGCATCTTTCTGTGTATCCACAGTGCCCCACACCTTTGAAAACGGAACAGATTTCATTGGTCTGGGCTGGATTATCAGCAAGACACTGAAGGCAAGTATCAGGAGTACACAAGCTGCATACACATAATATTCCTCATGAGCCCATTAAGGGTGGACAGCACCGTATTTCAACATCCAAGTAATCAGAGATTTAAAACAGGCTTTCATTCCAGTTAAAGTTTTCAATAAACATTTTTTTATTGTTATTTATAACCTGTCCCAGGAAAAAATAATAAGTACAACATGAAAAGCCAACTGAGAGTGACCCTGTAGCACCAGCAGTGAAGCAGCTTAATATCACTGGGATTTGCATCCTATCAAACTATTCATGCTGAGGCTGGGACCCTGGTGCTAATTTCTAGTAAATTTCACGCTTGATGTCTCCCTGTTGTGGGTCATTGCCGGTTCGTCTAAATAAACTGCTTGCAAATGGCTCTTCCATCTAAATATTCAGTCAGTTTTTATAATTTAATTTTGCATTATGCTGAATAGCCTTCCGGCCAGATAGAGCTCATTGGAAAAAAAGCCCCAGTACCATCTTGATATGCCTTTATTTATTTATTTATATTTTTACTGCTTGAATTAGACCTCCTAGGCTGACTAGTAAAGAGTTTTTTTTTTCCTTCCACTAATGTCAATTTTCAGCATAGCAAGAGCTGTCTCTAATCTTTTCCTACTCATTACACACAATTTTGGAGTCATTTTACCCACAGTGCAGTCGGCTCCTGGCTGTGTGTTTGTGTGCACTGAGGGATGGCATAATTGTTTATCTTCCCTCCCTGTATAATCCCCAGTCAGTACTGAAACCAAAACTGCAAACATCTCCCCAAGGGACATGGAGAGTGACGAGAGGCTCTCTGCTTAGGTCTCTTTACATGAGATAATATGGAGAAAACATCCTAACCTGTATGTAAATATAAAAGGCACTATTCTTTCCTCTCCTACATCTACCTTGCTCTCCACCCTCCACTCCTGCACCTTCCCCAAAGCTTCCTTGTAACAAGTGATGTGGAAATGCAAACAGCAGTGCTTCCACTGTAAGGCTCCAACCCCAGCTCCAACTGGTGGTTCTGAAACCAAACTCCAGAAGACAGAGTTGGCCTCAGCCTATCCTAGGCCAATAGCTCACTTCTGGATCCTGGATATCTTGTCTGACACATCTGTCTACACATCTAAAGTAAGTTATTTATCAGCAAAGGTGAGATATGCCCACAAGGCATTATCACATTGATAAATATGTTGACAGAGAGAGAGGATAGGAGGTAGGGATTAATTAATTTCAAAGGGATTTGAATTCACATTAGGACTGTTCAACTGTAGACCTAAGTTTCAAAAATCATGCCAACTGTACTAGGGCAAACAGTCCAAGCTGGGAGCTAGCCAAAGCACAAGGCAGAGGATGAGGCTCTGTCCACAAATGGCACACCAGAATGGACTGAGGTTATTTATTAACACTTGAACAATATCCCCGAGATTCACCAGAACAAGCTTCATCAGATGTCAGAAAAAGTAAACTCTAAAAACCCCAAAGGGTGAATTCCACTTAAACCAATGTAGTAAATACTTAACATACGCCAAGTACTAGTATGGGTTCTAGGTAATCCTGTCATACAGTACTTTCATCCAGTGTCCTGATGAAGTGAAAATTCATGGTCAACAAGATGAAGAATTATGGTTAAAAAGAATAGTGAGCTGGTGGTCAAGCAACATCCTTGAGTCATCCCGGTACACTGGTCAATTTCTTCTAATTTTTTGGAGTAGGCGAACGAATTTCTCATTGGAGCGGGGCTGGGGTGGGGGGGGGCGCGGCTGTAGGTGGGGGAAGTATAAGAGGGGTTGGTGAGAACAAATGAACTATCGCAGAGACCAGGCTTCCCCAAGTAAAACACAGGGCAGAATTGTGGCAGTTCATCCAGTAAAAAGTTGCTCTCTGCCTCACCTGCACAAATGTCTCTGCTTTCTGCTTGGCCATGTTCTTGAAAACTGGCTTTCACTTGTGTTTCATGTGGACTCCTGTATACACTGCACTCTGCCTCTGGTCTCAACCTACCATCTGTACACATCCTAGTTCCTCGTACTTAAATTAATTACTGACCAGTCTATGTAGTTACCTTGTGTCCTCCGTGGCCTCTACATAGGCATTAAGCCCATGATCCCCACTAGACTAAAGGCTCCCTATTTTCTCTACATATTCATCTTCACCATCACATCCCAACCATTCATCCATCCAAGACATCCTGCTATCTGCCTGTTGCCACTGCCTAGTTTTTCATCACTTACTTGGACCAGTACTCTCTACAGAGGACCTGGACTCCCAGAATCCATGCCCCAAGTTGCTAGGGAGGTGAATCCACTTTGCTTTGGAATGCCCTTCTTGGAGCTCAGCCACTTGACTGATGAAGTGAATGGGTGCAAACCAACCCATTTGGTCATTATATCTAGTTGGCCCCAGACCCTAGAACCGCTTCACCTTCAAATGCCATTCAGCCACCTACCCAGGCCACCTTGTCACCTGCCTACTGCTGCACTAGCTGTCCTCTCTCTCTGCCCATCCTCCTGCTTTGGGTACAATAGTCAGATCAATCAAACCACTGCTTCTGGAAAGGTCATATAAACTGACTGCCATAAATATTAATTCAATATCTCTATGACTCCTCAGATCCAAAGCTCTCTTTCCTGGCCTCCATTCCCCTTCCAAGTATTATCTTCTCCTAGTAGAATGTAATCACTTTAAGGGAGGAACTTAGTCTTTTAATATTTATTGTTCCAGCACTTAGTACAATGCCTACAACATCTTAAGTATTTAATAAAAAATGCTTTTTAAAAAAAAAATACATGCAAGCATGTAATTTATTCATTAGTAGAATGCTCTTTATCCTATGGACACCCAGGAAAGAGGGGAACTGGTCAATTATGGAGTAATCAACTTCCACAGAAGGACAGAAGAGAAATATGTTCTTTCCACTTAGGGACAGACTTATTGACAATAGTAAGACATGCTGGAGTCACAGGACCAGAATGGTGGTGAAGATAATTATGGAAATATCACAATTTGCCACAAGTGTCCTTTAGTATGGAATCCACTTAACTCTTCCAATCAAGAATCTATCTTTAACCATTATTCAGAACTTTAATGGGATAACTTTAGCAAGGTACACTTTTAGAAGGGAAAGAATGGAGTATAATCAATTGTTTAGTATGAAGTAAAAAAACACTATTTGAAATGCAACTGTGAAAACTGAACTCAAAGCTACAGAAGTAACAGATACACTCACAATGTCCTCAGTGAGGATTCTTCAAAGTTCACATGGAGATATACAACACACTGCCATTTTTTTGCCCTTTCCCTCCCTTCATTTTCCTCAGATACGTGAAGCCCCTCTGGCACAGAGTTAGAGTTAACAGTAAAGGAAATCACCTTTCATTCCACCAGAGAAGCCTCTCCAGTTGGCAAAGACCATGAGGGGAAGTCCCTCCCGGTTGAAGTCCTTGATAGCTTGATAGGTCTTAAAAGCAGAGTCTGGAAACCAAACCTGCCCTGCCTGCTGAATTATCTGTTGGGAAAAGTCAGAGAGGGAAATATTATTAAGAACACAGTTTGAGCGACAGTTTCTTTAAGTTGAATTAGGCTTTACTGATGAAAAAAGAGATTTGGAATCCTATATCCCACAAAATCAAGGACCTTAACTTTTCTAAAGTTATTTCCCCACAACAACCCTGTGAGGTAGTCATGATCTTTATCAGGCACACAAAGAAAGAGAGACTCAGAGAGGTCAAACAACGTGTCCAAAGTCACACAGCAGATAAGCACCACAGCTATGATTCAAACCCAACGCTTTTTGTTTTCCGCTAAATTCAGCACTCTCTCTAGTATATAGAACAATCCTTTTTAAATTTCTCAATCTTTCCCTTTGTATTAGGGAGTGGATGGGGCAGACTCCTTGAAGAATGTGAGCTACCTAAACCCTTCACATATACATCAATATAGCCTGTGACTCTTCAGGGTGTCATGAGCACAACCATGGACTATCTGTTGGCGTGTACTGCAGCAGATCAGAAACATTGTAAATGTCTGATTTTTCAGGCCTGAGATAACCTGAAATCCATTTAGCCTCATCACCTAGACTATCGATAGTCTTGAACATCTAAGGGACCCAACTCTTCTCCTCTAATAAAATTGGCAGTCTGCAAAATCTCAATGATGGTCATAAGCTCTACAGAAGATGACTGTGGCTTTAAGCAGTCCTCCACATAGACACACAGTCTGCCCCAGGGACAACCTACCTTGGCCTCAGAGTCCAGGTTGGCGGGATCAGCCGGGATACTGAGCTCCACTGTTCTGGTTTCTACAGCAACTACTCCTACAGGTATACCGCCTAGCCTGAAAACAGATGAGGAACAGAGGAATCCACACGTTACCCTTCTACAACTAAGTCATTTATTTTTCAATCCCACATCAAAAAGGGGAGGGGGGAAAGAGAGAAGAAGAAGATGGTGTGAAAGGCGAAACAAATAATGCTAACAGAGGGAGGAGAAAATCTAGCTTTTTTAGGGACACGTGTGGCCTAGATTCAATACCAAACAGACATCTTGAGAAATAACTATAGGGAACACAGAAATGTCACAGAGTTTTTGAAAACACCCATATCACCCCAAAGTTAACCATAGCAAACAGCATCAGGGAACTACCGCCAATTACAGAAAAACAGAACAGAACATTTGAACATAGGGGAGATGACAAAACCAGGTTCTTCATAAGAGCTATGGACTACATGATCTCCAAGGTCTTGTCTAGTTCTACAGCTATAACCCTCTGTAGTTTTGTCTTAAGAGTCTGTTTCTTTCAATCACAATAAATCTGGATTTCCAGGAGAGATGAGATTGTATGTATGGGGACTATATGTATGGGAAGGTTGCAAAAAAGAAAGAAGTAGCTAGAAAAACCCTTAACTTCTTCCACTTGGAATGACTGGCAGGCATAACTGCCAAAGACTGAGAATCTTGATAACAGGAGATATCTCTCCAGGTTCACATGGGCTGATTAATTTAAAATGCCTGAACAAAACTCCCTGTAGCTAATTTTTGCATCTCCCCAACTTGATCCTACTCACAAAGATTATCTGGTGAAAACCCAAGAATAATACCATAGAGGGGCAGAGAGATATGATCTATGGTAGAAAAAGAACCCTGACTTCCCAAGAGGTGTTTTGATTATAGCTTTCACAACTCCATTCCTTAGGGGTGAGGCTGGAATGTGTTAGTTTTTCAATCCCCACAGACTGCCCATTACAAACTTTTTCAGGAGAGGTTCTGGCCATTACAATGGCTACTAGAAATAGATTTCTGTTATCCCAAAAGACCTGTTGGGGACTAGGTAGGGACCACTCAACCTTCCCCTCCCCCTGTCACTTGCCTGAACCAAATCAGATGCAAAGCACTTCAGACAGCCCAGACAACGAGCAGGAGGTACACAGGAGGGTTTGGAAACGTTCCTATTCCCAATGATTAACAATCCAACTGGAAACTTGTAATTGCAAGAACCACCCTAAATCGGTAACTTATAACTTATATATTAGGGCCCATGTGACCTAATAAAGAACATCTTTATCCGAGTATTACAGTTATTTATTGAACTTGAAAACAGCTCAGAACAACTTCTGTTTTCCATTATACTTCATATAAATTTTATCAGGCTAGCACATGAAGATGCTACATCTTGTTTTATAGTGTGTCCCTGGACAAGGTGCCATGGAATAATAAAAGACAATTTACAGCCAATAGCACACATATTCCAAACATACATACCAAAGATGAGTTTTGGCAGCACTTACAGTAACAATCCCAGAAGAATACATTTATATTTATTTTTTGAAATGCCACTGCTTTTGAAAGAAGTAAGCTCCATTTGTTTTTTTTATATACTTGTGTGTGTGCATGTGCGTGTAACACAATGAAGCTCAGAACTTGTCAAATATAAAGAAAAGGAAAAAGTGTCAAGCTAGGGACAGCTGTAAACAACATGAGTACAAACAACAAAAACTAAATGTTCTATCTCAAGATGTTTGCTCTAAGGGAAAATTCTGTTGTTGTTTTCTTCAAACATAATAAAAGAGATGAAGCCTTATTATCTGCTTTCTATGGGAAGATCTCAAAGCCCTTTACACTGACTGACAGGCTCTTGGGGTGTAACATTTGTACATTTTCTCTCCAAAAAGGAAGACCGTAGCAGATAAGTTAAACTCGGTTGGGCTCCCAAGGAGCTGGGGACACAGTGATGGGCAGAATCTACACACCGGGCTCCTGAAGCAAGCCTGGAAAGATGGTCAGAAGAACTGGCTGGTTCCACTTCTGTGTCTCTCTTTTTCTCTCTTTGGTATAATTTTCACTAGACATTTTTAAATGATTTAACTGGGCTGCAAGCACCTGTTTGCCACGATGAGGCAGCAGACTTTAAGGACATCTGGAGTCCTGTTACTGTGAGCTTCAGCATTCTCTGGAACCAGCCTTGAACCCTTCAAACTCAATACACAAGACTATCTATGAGACTCACCATCGGACAGCATCTTGTTGCTACCAGCATGAGGGGCACTGCCCTGCTGGGCTAAGGGAACCACAAAACCTAGAATTATTTTTGAGGCTGGAATCTAAATCTCAAGATCATGTGGCATATTGGAGAATGTCGAGCAGATACCACATTCCGCAAAGATAAGGGAAAAGGATTGCTCCTGAGAGGAAGGTGAGCTCCAGATGCTAGTCCCCAGGGCAGTGTGTCTCAGCAGTGCAGAACTAGATTAAGATCAGGCTTGGCAGGTGCCAGTTACAGGGAGCACTGCAGATTATTCCATGCAGGGAATACTGTCAAGTGAACCTCTCCTTAGAATGGATATTAAAATTTAATAGAAACTTCAATTTCCCACTTCAGAAAGGTAGGTATCCCAGCAACCTACAGCTTCTTGCACTCACTTCAGTTTTTGTTAAAAAAAAAAAACTTTTTTTAGAAGTCAAATCTGATTATGGAGCCACATAACGAGATTACTTTGTAATTAATCTTCATGCCACTAAGGAGACTTCTCCCAGGGTCCACAAAGCTATTGGCATTTAATTCACCTCCTGCCTTCTTCTGTGTCCTCTTTCTTTTTAAGGTCCTATGAGGAGCCTATATTTCCAAGATCAATATCAGAAGCAAAAGCTTCATCGGAATTACATAAGAAATGTCCCCGGGGAACCAATGCTCAGTTAGGCTATCTGATGTAACACTATGAATCAGAAAGTTTAAAGCTGGGGTTCTTAACTGGGATCCGTGCATAGATTTGGAATGGGGTGTGTCTATGAATTCAGAAGGGAAAAATGACATCTTTATTTTCTCCAACCTCTAACTGAAATGTAGCATCTCATTCAATTATCTAAAAACACAGTTCTGGGAAAGGGTTCATAGGTTTTTGGTCACCAGCCCGACCAAGGGGATCCAGGACACACAAAAAGCCTTAGACAGAAATAGAAGTATCAGCCAAGAGCTTTTGTACAGGAAGGCTTTTGTTCTTATTTTGGTTGGTGATAGTAAAAAAACATTTATCAAGCAACACAAGTCTTACCGGGCTCTACCAACCACAACTGTCTGTGCCCAAGGCTGCATGATCTCAGAGAAGGAACCATAGTCAAAGAATCCACTTAGCCACTGACCTTTCTGGGCTATAGGAAGAAGACAGAACAATCAGAAAAGGTTTAAAAAATCCACCAAAAATTCCAACACCAGAATTTAAAGATTGGATTTTGAGTTTGCTTTTTAGGTTTCATTTGAAAAAATAAATTATAATACATGTGAGCATTAGGCTGCTGAACGTTCATCTGCCTTCAGACATCATCTCCTATTTCATTTGCTAGTCTGCATAAAGAGAGTCATTTATCAGCAGAGGCATCATTTATTGTTAAACGATGGGGTTCAGATAGCAGAGAGTTTGCATGCTTTTAAAATAAATAACTTGGCTTTTTTCAAGACACCACAAACATTTGTCAGAAAGCAGCCACGTCATTAAATATGTTTTCAAAATGTCTATTTCTGTTTTAAAACCTAGCTTACAATTTTCTTTTAAGTCCATTGATTTTTTCTTTTTAACGGAAAGCTGAAGATGGTCACTTATAAGCAGAAATGATCAGATGATGTCTGAACACAAGGCAGTGAATTTGGGGAGAAAAGGAGATGGTCAAATTGTCACCTAGAAGAATTTATTCACTTTATTTACAGCCAACAAAGTGTATCCAATCTACAGCAAGGGGCCATTTCTACTTCCTGCTTGCTGACTGACAAGGAAAATGCCCAACATGAGCACATTTAATGCCAACGTTCCTTCTAGAACATAGGATTCCCCTTACTAGTGAAACATATTAACTTCAGCATTTTAGTCAAAAGAGAAAACTTTCGTTCCACAGGTTTCTACATTAGACCAAGCCCCTATAAAGCTTGTGCAAATAACTCTTTCCAAGACTGTCCCCTCAGCAGGCAGTTTTCTCAGTGACTCTTTTAATTTGAACATGGCCCTCCACCCCTAAAAACCCAAGTCCAAAACCAATTAAAAGTGGAGATCTGAGCAAGCTAACCTCTGCTGACTTAAACAGGATGGAGAGTGTTTTATCAAGACCAAACTTGTAATTACTGTGTTCTACATTCCTTACCTCCATGGCCCCAGTGTAAAATGTGATCATCCATTTCAAAATTATCTCTCTATCGTGAGCCCAAAGCTGATCGTTTAGATTCTGGTCTCGTGTCGGGCGTCAGTTTGAAGAATATCACAGCACTATCTCCTCTAATAAATGGCTTTAACTTTTCACCTACGAGATATCTGCTTTAACTTATCATGGGGAATCATCTGCTTTCCTTAACGCTTCCACTAAATTAAAATCTGAAGTCACTTGATTTGGGAGCGAGTGTTAGCAGCACACAGACAGCAGGATGAATTACAGAGGAGATGTTGAAAAAATATTATCCCCAAACCAGAAAACTTAGTTTATCACAAATTTCATTTTACTCCATGAAATTCATTAATAATAGCTGAGCTAATGGCCACCTACTTTGTAGCACACATGAAAGGGACATATATGTTCAAACCATCCTTCTCACCCTCACCCTAATTCCACCCTTCCTAAGGAAGAGGCAGGCAGAGACTCAAATTTTGATCATCTCAAACCAAGCCAGTAATTTGCCAATGTCCATCAGGATCTTTAAAAATTGATTCTCTTACATGATTAGATCATTTTATGTTTCCTACTTAATTCAAGAATGGAATGAATACAGAAATCATTTCAGAATTGTAATAATTCTCCTTTAAGAAAAAAAAACCTTCTGCCCTATAGATTTTTCTATTGTCATTGCTGAGCTATTGCTGTGGCAATCTGCAGCTCCCAAAAAGCCAAGGCTGCATTTGGTTCAGATATAGGACTCAGAACTCAGCTCAGCGGGGTCCTTCTTTTCCCAAGGGAACAGTCACCAGGACCTATTGTGAATTCCAGAGGGAGAAGTGCCTATTTCAAACCCAGAGAAAGACACAATTTATCTTAAGACTGGAGAGAAATCTTACACACATGATCCTTATCACGTCCACAGTACAAAAGTAGGGGAGAGAGTTACCTGTGATGATTTTTATTTTTTCTTTCTTTCTTTTTTTTAATTTGAATTTTGTTTACTGAGTTTATACTTGTTACATTTTTTAAAAATGATTTTATTTTTTTCAATCAGCAAACATCCATTCTCCCATTCTAATCCCCCCCACCCCCAACTGAGTATGAAAGAAAAACAGAACTCTTATTACAAACATGTATAGTCAAGGAAAACATTTTTGCATTGGCCATGACCAACAAAATATGTCTCATTCTGCATTGAATACACCTCTCTATCCAGAGGAGGGGTAACATGTTTCAACATTATTCCTTTGAAGTTGTGGTTAGTCATTACGCTCATAAAAGTGCTTAATCTAGGATGATTTTTCTGTGCCTTGTGTGATACTATTTAGTTTTACTGAGATTAATGAAAAGTATTTGAAGATTAGAAGTAAAATTTTAAACAAAAGTCAATCAACCTCTGGTCACCTGCTAAAGTAAAGAATCAGCAATTTACCTTTCAACCTCACTATGAAGATATTTCTCTCTGAACTAATTTAAATGTTCAATTGTCTTTAAATTCAGTGAAACTTCATTAGCACCTTTTCCCTTTTATTCTTTCCTATATACATAATGTCTTTGAAATAGTTGCATCTGACAACTCAAAACAACACAAATTCCTAAGAAACAAAACAAAACAAAACAAAAATCTGAGTGTAGCAAGAAGAACTTTGGCTTGAAAGGAGGATTTCCCAATAAATAACAATCTCTATTCAAATAGTGGGCAGAGTTTCTAAGAGAAGACCTCCTTACTTGGAGTTAGTCTCAATTTTTCAGGAATGGAATAAATGAAATTTATCTGAAGGTGGTGGGACAACCGGAATTTACAGAATTTGAAGTTCTGAAAAATTCCCAGAAGAAATACAGTACTGGAATATCAACAATGTAAGAGGACAACAAAGTGTCATATACAGTGGGCATGATACTAGCTGATGACAAATGTTTAATATTACTGTTTTAAAATCTTGAAGTACTCTTCCAATGTTATGTGATTCATTTCTATTTATTTTCAGGGATTAGGTATGATCTCTATGTCTGACAATATTTGGTAAGGTGTTTGAACTTGTATGTAAAGTGCTATTTAAAGAAGAGAAGAGAAGGCAAATTTATGAAGGAGACTCAGATTTCTGAGCTTGGCAACTGTTCTCCGCCAGTGACTAACTTTTAGGTCGCATCTCATTTGTTCCCGTTGGCATTTGCTAACTCTTGCTTTATAAAGACTGTCATGTGTGGGTTTTCTCTTTGATGAACCTAGTTACTTTCGTATAGCTGCTCATATCAAAGTCCCGCCTTCTCCCGTCATAACCACTATTTAGCAGCCTCTCTTCCTCTGCTACAGGCCACTGTGTGCAGATCACACAGTGACCATACAGCAGAAAGAAGGAAATGGACATAAAATGACAGCTTGCATGACAGATGAAGGAGATGCTGACTAGGTCTCAGAGGGCATAACAAAAGTATACGTACTTGGGTGAGGACGTCCTGCCAGCATCCAGCGGGGATCATAGGGGGCCTTTGTAGGGACAAATTCAATGATTCTATCGATGGGATCCTTGGAGTTAAGAAGAGGAACTGGACTGCGCACATTCTAAAAGGCAATTGGGAGAGGGGCAAAGGGCAAAAGAACACAACAACTGTTAGAAGCTTTCCATATTCAAATTTAGCAACAAAAGCCAAAGACAAACTGAAGGGAGGCCATATGTAGAATTATAAGCTCCAACTCTTACAGTAATTTCATAACACCCCAATCACCTGTCTAGTTCCGGGAAATATATATGGACTTTAAGTCTCACTGAGGGTCCTGCAAAAAAAAATGTGGCCCTTCTGCTTTTGATTTCAAGGAAACAATACTGTGTGATTCTCAGTAATCAAATGGGAGAAAAGGTTGTATGAGGAAAGTGACTGTGCCCAAGGCCAAAGTTTTAATGTACTGGGGTCTGTTGCCATACGTGCCATAAAAATTCATGGGGCAAGAAAGCATTTTTCAGGAAGCCTAATCAATTAATCCAAAGTCATACTGAAAATGAAGGTTTTAAGTAAAAGAAGAGTCAATAGAAGGATGGATAAAAAAAAAATCTAATGTTAAGAATCCTATATATAACGGCCAATGACATCTGGACACTTCAAAAGGGTGGGCTATGGTTTATGTCAGCAGTAGAGACACTCACCTTGGGCATATAAGACAGCCAATGTAGGACTGTAAGAACCCCTTCAAAGTCATCACATACAGTACTGTGAGTCACTCCATTGTTGTGCATAATCTGGATGCCTCCGAGCTGGTTATTAGATGTATATACTTCACGCCCAAGCACCTAAGGAAATAGAGAAAAGAAAAGTGATGTCTGCTGAGGTAGCACAGAGTGTGGACTAACACCACAGCTTTAGTGTTCTAGAACCAGTACTTCCTTCCCTAACCATTTTAAAGTAAGAAGATGACAACAGACCCCTGTTTCAGTGTAGAGTTTTAACTGTGTGGACTTCTTAGATTAGCATCCCACAAAAACAACATAAAAAACAGAATTCATCTACATATCTTGTGGGAAGTTGCCTTTATCAAAAACAGCAAATTTCTCCCCATCAAGTGCCACACATATAAATATCAATCCTCTCTTTCCCTCCATCCTACCCCAAAGTAACACAACATAGCCCTAGACTAAAACAGCAGACATGGGTGACACGGGCAAGTTGAGAACCAAGGCTATGTCATCTTTTTCGGTTCAGGTAGGGGTCACTGCCAATATACAAATGGTAACGAGCCACTAGAAAAGAGCCCATGTTGCCAATGTTCATCGTTTAGACACTGCCCAGTTGAAGAAAAGCTATAGGATCTTGATTTCATAACTTTCTTTTTTATTTTTAAAGACTTGAATGCCTCTGAATTAATTTCTTAAGGGTAGAAAATGGTCCCCCCTCAAGGCTGGCAGGATCCAGATACAACTCAGTAACTCACATATGAATTCACATACCAACCAAGGATTCTATGCTTCTTTCTCTTTGTGTGCTGCACTGCCTGTGATTTATGTCCAAGCCTGCTTCTCTCCCCAACACCCAGGGGAATTAAAAGCTTCAACCCCCACCCCTCTACCCCCACTCCCAATGTATCCTTTGAGAAGAATAAACTCCTGTTAGGTCAAAGGGCATCTACAATTGGAAACCACAAAGTTTCTTTTAAAGAAAAGGGGGGGGCATGCACATGCAATTCCTTGGACTTGGAAATTGTAGGGTTTCTTTTTTCCTTGAAGATTGGTTAATAATTTCTTTCAGGGAGGGAGGTTTTCTGACCTAGCAGATGGAAGCGAGGCAGCCTGATCACTGACTACTGCAAGCTGCTGAGTGTGTAGTAATTGCTGGTCATCTGGGGGAGCCCTGGAGAGCTCTAAACAGTTGTAGAGAGCTTACTGTATTTCACCTTTTCTTCCCCCATTCCTTTCCCTCTTAAAAAAAAGAAAAGGTGGGGAGAAAAGTCCTCTGTCTCTTGGTTCCTTTAATTCACTGGTTTTCTCTGAGAAGTGGAGAAAGGAACAGAGACTACTATCGCAAGGCCACTGTCCTCAGGCTCTTTACTGCTATGCATCTCACAAGCTTCCCTTGCAACTGTGAACATACACCTATGAAATCACAGGCCTAGCTAGAATTCAAACACAGTGTACCTCCAAAGGCAAGTTTAAGCTAATAACTGAAAACATGACACCTTAGCCTGACCCTGCTGGCCTTGGATCTATTTAAGATCTGATAAAGGATGAGGGAACATTGTGTAAAGGGAGAGAGAGAGATGGACAGGGAGAGAGAGAGAGAGGGAGAGAGAGAGAGAGAGAGAGAGAGAGAGAGGAGAGAGAAGAGAGAAACAGAGAGACTGCCTAGAAATAGCACCAATCCTTTGCAGAACCTTCCCCTGCATATATACGAGGTAACCCTCCCAAAGTGGCTTTCAAAGGGCCCACTACGTCTCTGACCACTGGACTCTCATTCTCCTCCTGGCTCGGTCTTTAATCTCAGCCCAGCCACTATGGCTCTTTCTCATTCTCCTGCTGTCTCTTTCCATTTGCCCTCTCACTGACTGATACACTGATCTCTCGGTCACTCGGCTTTCTGCTCCACTGAGTCCATATTACTAATAACACCTCCGCCACGGCCAGTTTACTTCATGAAGGCAGGAGCACATCATTACAAAATAAACTCATAACTTTGACATTCTAGCAAATACACGCCGTTTGTTATTTTTACGGCTTTAGTCTTCTAACAGGCAGAGGGCATTACATACCTGTTTCATTTATATCTTTAAACACACACATACCAAAAACAAAACCCCCCAAAAACCAAAGCAGCCATTTGATTGGGGGGGGGGGAGAGTAGGTGGAGTCCAATGGAAGCAGCAACCCTAGCAGAGAAGCTATGTTCTGATCTGGCTCTGATTTTATGAATGTAATAAACCTGATGGCCCACAACTAGTCCTTCTGGGACAAAATGCCTCTCTTGGAAGTCATTAAATGTGATCAGCAATATTTTTAATTATTAAAATAAAACATAAAAGGGGAAAAAGAATAAAAGGGAGAAACTACAGATCTGGTATCTCCATTCCCTCTTCTGGGAAGACTACAGTTGTGGTCACTTCTTAGAATTCTCAGAGATGTTTACTGTCAGCAAAACTCATGCTAATGCACGATAGCTTAGAATCTCATCCGACCTCAAAATAGAAGACCAATGATGGGCATCAGGAATACTTAGACATAATTAGACTAGGGTCCACTTAACCAAGAACACCTTCTATGGAAGTCTTCCCTTGAGCTTTTTGCACATGGGTGATCTGCAAATATTCTGCAACTCTCCACATACTCCAAACACCTGTGACCAGTTTTGAAGAAGGGAGAACCTAGCATCTAAGCATATGTTCTATCAGCGGTTAAGACTCATGTTCTGATGCTTCAGCAAAAGGCTCAGGAGAAGATAGTGCACAATATCAGGCAAAATGGGAAATTCTCTTGATTCTAGTGTTAATGAGATCAATTAATGAAAAGACAGTAAAAGCATTTGTCAAGATAAGTCATAGACACCCTGACATACAGTGTTCAAATGATCCTTGCAGTCGGGGAATGGGAAGAAGGAAAAGAAGGCAAGGAGCTCTCTCTGCACCAGACAGATACTGGCAGGTAGAATGGGCGCCCCCTCTAAAATGTTATCTTGAGGATCCAGAATTTAAAAGCATAAACCAAGAGCCACCTTCATATGCCAGCAGTTGTCCCTATTAATGCTGGCACAGAGAGCAGTCCATCTTAGACTACTATGTGATCTAAGTGTAGCCCACCAGAATGAGGGAGCTCATGATTTATAGGGGTCATTGCTGACTCAAGCAGTTTTAGTGATTTTAGAATACCTCATGACAAAGGCTCAAACAAAGGTGGTAGGAATCAGTCTGGGCCACAATCCCTTCTGCCTAACTCCACAATCATTGCATCAGTTTAATTCTATGAGCTCTGGTCAGCATTTGAAGGTGAGAAAATCCAAAACATAGCTACTCCCTGATCAAGTCTAGTCAACTTACAATGAAGGGATTCAGCACAAAAAACCCTTTTCCACACACAGCACCTCATTAAGAGGATAAATTTCACTAATTTCTAACTTAACTATTTATACAACTATCCTGATGTTCATTAAGTAACCTGGAATACTTTATTTTCTATGAGAATAAAAATTTCTTTCTGCTTCATGCGGAATTATCAATGGCAACCTGCTCACATTCATGAGCAGTGCTGGATACATGGAAAGTACGCAGTGTATAGTTATGAAGAGAATACCAGACTCATTATCAGAAAACCCCAGTTTTGGCATTTACCTAGATCTGCATACATGAGCAAGCCATGACCTTTTCACTTCAGTTTCCTCATCTATAAAATGGGGATAATATTTGTATAACCTATTTCACAAGGCTGTTGGAATGCACAACTTTATAATAAAGCCTTCTATAACGTAGGAGTTTATCATCACTGTTATGAGACTCAAAGGTGACTGAGAGCAAAGGGAGCACCACCTGAACTCACTAGCCAAAAGGAAACTAGTACCTCATTTGGGTACTCATCACCATGAGACAAGTGCCACCATGGATTCCACTGTGAATCAGCCCCTGAACCTAGGACATATGAAGAGGGGATAGATCTTAAGAAAAGTTTTAGATGCCCTTCCTCTTCCATCCTCAATATAAGATTTAAATTGGAATGGCCATTTCAACCATTGTTGTTAGCAGGCCTGTGAAATAAGGGCACAGAGAGAATACTAGCTGTTAGTAGAATCACAAAATAAGTGTTAAGTGGCTCCCTCAAAGACCCTAAGGAACATTCCAAGATTCCACAACTGTAAGAAGCCTCTTAGAAACTAATGCAGACGTACATACATGCAAAGGCAGCTGCTGTTGTTGCTACTTATCTAGAGACACTGCAGACAGCTCGGGTTTACCACAGCTGACAGGCAATGAAAACAGCCTAATATACCGCCTGCTCTCTCCTTTAAATCCCTTTTTGGAGATCAAGATAAACACGTTCTTCCTTTCCCCAGCGATCCAGACATCTGACTGAAGTGGCAGAGTGCTGTGAGGTTCTGTGCAAATGAAACCACCGTGATACTGAATGAGCACAGTATTTACTTGTCAGTGTATCTGTCAGAACACGTACCATAGTGCCAGGGATATATTTACAAAGGTGCACAGATGCAACTTAGCCCAGTTTATTTTTTAATCATCTTTCTCTTTATACAAAAGCAAAACATCCACAGGATTGGTGGGTGGAAAGAAATAAGAATATAGTCTTGTGCATAAGCATCTTCATAAACAAGTCTGTAAATACCCACAGTATCAGTAAGCAGGGTGATACAATTAACATGCATGGAAGAAAAAAATGAAATACTGAAATTGCTTGCTTTTATGTATGTGCATGGAGGCGGAAAACTTTTTTCAGCCCTGATATCTCTGATGTAAATTTGGGGTAGAAGGGGCCCACAAACTACTTATTATAATTCTAAGGCCTCTATCCTGTACCCTCCTTATCAAGGTTCTTTCATTATCATGAGGAACATTTTTATAAACATTCTAGACAACTGCTATCAGGGCATCCCACCCATGATTCACAGGTTAAAGTTAGTAGAATCTGCCAGCTTCCTGAGAAACTGAAACAAAAAGAAAATGGAAAAGGAAAGCTAAGACAAAGGAACAGCAGACAGAAAGAGAAAGAGATAAAAGAAGAAAAAGAGGTAAACAAGGAAGGAAAAAAATAGTACAATATGGCTAGGAAAAGAGAGGAGGGAGGACACAAAGAGAAAAAAAAAT